TAATATGCTAGTTGTGATAATTTCATGCCAAGTAAAAATGTCCATAGTCATATTTTATGTTCCTAAAGTAACAGAATGACTTTCAATCTAGAAAAGACAAAAGAAATGCTAATGTAGCATTTTTTCCAATTTTTCCGAAAATTTCCGTTTCCCCCCGAAAAAAACTGGAAAACCCGGGTTTTTTCCTGAGCTTCAAGATTTCCAGAAATTTTACATCTCTAAGTGTAATGACATCAGAGTGTGATTTGTAAATCTGACAGTTCACCATGAATGGTTGCCCTATGCATGCGAGTGACCTGAATGGGTTTTGCGGGTCAATCACGTACGCGCCCTTTCGTAAGCACAGTTGAGTCTCTCGGCAGTGCCGTAAGAGAAGGGATTAACGGCGGTGTCCCTTTCCTGGCAGCGGAACAGCTGGCGGCTTTTGAGGCCGTGGTCGCCCAGATGTTGGAGGACGTCCAAGAGCGCCTGGTCTACCGGACGCACATCTACATCCAGACTGACATTGGGGGGTACAAGCCGGCCCCGGGAGACCTGGCCTATCCCGCCAAGCTGGAGATGATGGAGGTGAGGCTTCCTCCGCCGCTGGTTGTTGGACGGAGGGCGGCGGAACCCTGTTGGGCCCGCGGGCACCTTTGGAAGCCGGACGCAAGGCGGTGGGTGCAGCCACAAAATGGCCGCCGCAGGAGGCGGAGCCAGCCACAGAAGGCCAGGCAGTGAAGTCGAGTTCTCAGAGTCACCCTTTCAGGGCTCCAGGCAGAAGCTCTGCCGGACGGGACGCCTTACGCATGAGCCTACGGTTTAAGAATATTTTTTAAAATTTAGTTTATTTTTAAATTTTAATTTATCAGGTTTATATCCCGTCAGACCCCACAAGTGGGCTCAGGGCGATCACAGCATAGAAAGCGTAACAAAGGCCCCGGTCACACCAGAGCCGATTGACATATTGCTTTATTTGCTTCTTCAGAAAATTTCTCTGCTGCTTCTCCAGCGAGCGTTTCCTTTGCCTTTGGTTCTTTAAAGTTCGTATAAATCGCTTCTACCCAGAGAGCCAGTTTGGTGTTGTGGTTAAGTGCGCGGACTCTAATCTGGGAGAACCGGGTTTGATTCCCCGCTCCTCCACTTGCACCTGGCTGGATGACCTTGGGCAAGCCGTAGTCCTGATAAGAGCTGTCCTTGAAAAAGAGCAGTTTCTGTCAAGAGCTCTCTCAGCCCCACCGACCTCACAGGGTGTCTGTTGTGGGGAGGAGAAGGGAAAGGAATTTGTAAGCCACTCTGAGACTCCTTTGGGTAGTGAAGGGTGGGGTATAAATCCAATCTCCTCCTCCTCCTCCTCCTCCCTTTCTCCCAGATAAAGGGTTTCCCAAAGCAAGCTGTTTATGTCAGTATTCAGGTCACAGGCCCAAACTGTCTTTAAAGGATTTTCCCCCAACTGGGTTTTGCCTGCAGCAAATAGCACAAAGCCTGAGAGAAGAAGAGAAGTTGCCGGCAGATGGTTCGTTTTCCGATGTGAAGCTGGAAGATCCGGAGAGCGGCAATGTGGTGAAAGCCGGTATGTGTTTCTGATGTAAGGTACTTTGTACTTGTAGCAACAAGCTGATGATGGCAACTGTATTTGCCTGTGGCCTAGAGGGGCCGTGGCTCAGTGGCAGAGCCTCTGCTGGGCGTGCAGAAGGTCCCAGGTTCAATCCCCGGCATCTCCAGTTAAAAGGTCCAGGCAGGAGGTGATGGGGAAGACCTCCGCCTGAGACCCTGGAGAGCTGTAAAGAGGGGCCGTGGCTCAGTGGAAGAGCCTCTGCTTGGCATGCAGGAGGTCCCAGGTTCAACCCCCAGAGGCATCTCCAGTTAAAAAGGACCAGGCAGGCCGTGATGGGAAAGTTCTCAGGCAGTGGGTAATGGGAAACAACTCAGCCTGAGACCCTGAAGGATACAAGGAGGGGCCGTGGCTCAGTGGCAGAGCCTCTGCTTGGCATGCAGAAGGTCCCAGGTTCGACCCCAGGCATCTCCATTAAACACAATCAGGTTGTGAAGGACCTCTGCCTGGAGAGCGGCTGCCAGTCAGAGTAGGCAATTCTGGCCTTGATGGCCTAATGTTCGGACTCAGTGGAAGGCAGTTTCAGGTGCGTACTTAGGGAAGCAAACCTATGGCACGTTTGAGACCAGTACAGCAGACCTTGTGCCTGTATTGACCTTTCTCCCATGCTTTAATTTTTTTAACTGCAGTGTGTAACCGCCTTGTAACACTGTCTTAACTGTTAGATAATTTCTTTTCTTTTTGGTATTTTTGCATTTGTGTGTGTGTGTGTACGTGTACCCGTGCCTGGAAGTTATGGCGACCGCTAGCCACTCCTTCTGGGGCATGGAGGATGTTCAGAGACGTGGCATGACAGCCTGCCTCTGGCTTCCCGACCCTGGTATTCCTTGGAGGTATCCCCTCCAAGTACTTGCCCGGGTCGGCCCTGCTGAGCTTCCAAGTTCTGACGAGATTGGGCTTTCCTGGGCTATCTAGGTCAGGGCAACTGTTAGTTAATTTCCGATTGTTCCGTTTGATTTTCTACTATTTCTGGCTTCGTGGGTTACAATTTTGCCCCCAAAATGAGAACATGATCTGGGTAACACCTTCTGTTAGGTAAAGGTAAAGGTTCCCTTGCTCGAAAGCCAGTCGAATCCGACTCTAGGGTTGCGGTGCTCATCTCCGTTTCAAAGCCGAAGAGCCAGCGCTGTCCGAAGACATTTCCGTGGTCGTGTGGCCGGCTGTTCCCTTCCCACCGAAGTGGTACCTATTTATCTACTTGCAATTCCTTGCTTTTGAACGGCTAGGTTGGCAGGAGCTGGAACTAGAGACGGGGGAGCTCACTCCGTCATGCGGCACACTTGGGTCTCGAACTGCTGAACTACTGACCTTCTGTTGGAACCAACCAAATTGATCCAAAATATTTGCACGAGCTTTCGAGAACTCTTTATCAGGCTGGATGTGAGAAAATTTGAGAAGGTAGAAAGCAGATTTTCCCAGCCACGATATTAAGGTCTGATCCTACAGATATCCTCTGTGTGTTGTGAGCTGCAAACAGGTAATTAGCTTCAGTTTGTTGCTGAGGTGAAGGTCTCTAGAATGTCCTTCGTTCTCGTGCTGAAAGACAGAGACCACCCAAGTCCCCCCGAAAAGTGTCTCAAATGCCGAAGAGAAGAAGAAGAGATTGGATTTAGACCCCATGGCCCTTCACTACCCAAAGGTGTCTCAGAGCAACTTACAAACTCCTTTCCCTTCCCCTCCCCACAACAGACACCCCGGGCTCAGAGAGCTCTGACAGAAACTGCTCTTTTTCAAGAACAGCTCTTATCAGAGCTACGGCTTGCCCAAGGTCATCCAGCCAGGTGCAAGTGGAGGAGTGGGGAATCAAACCCGGTTCTCCCAGATTAGAGTCCGTGCACTTAACCACTGCACCAAACTGGCTCACCAAACAGGACCCTGGTTGCTTTCCTGATGTCCAGACACCTTTTTACGTTTCGCTGTTGAACTGGAAATCAAGCCTGCCGGCGAGGGCTATTATCACTGGCAGTCTATAAGGCAATGAGTGGTAGCCCATCACCCTAAAACGGCAGAGTAACTCACAGGGAAGGGGTGTATTTCTTGCCAGAAAGACAAAAACACTGTTTGGGTTCTTAAGCCTGAGACGGGAGCAAGCCTTTGGTGTCCCTTTCTGTATTACAGACTCATCGGAATCCTGCCCCGCCAGAACTCACACCACGGTTTCACCGGCTGACCTCCATGGAATGTGGTACCCCACTGTCAGAAGGACCCTCGTGTGTCTCTCCAAGCTTTACAGATGCATCGACGTACGTCCCCTGTTGTTTCCCACCCGTAGCTTTCAATCCTGTATTCCCAGGTTGAAGGATCCGGGAACAGGCATACCTAGAAGAGAAATGTCCGAGCTGAAACTTTTTGCCACCCCTGCCAATGGAGCCTATACTCAGGAATGACTGCACCCCATAGATTTCCGTTAAACAAGTATAAAGCCCACAATCGTGATAATCCTTGAACCAAGGTACATAATCACATAATCAACCTTGGTTCAAGGATTTCCTATTGAGTTGTGTATCATGTTGTAGTGCTTTAGATTGCAATACATAAACAGCATTCTTTATAAGTCTTATGACTGTTTGATTGTGGGTCAGACTATCACGACTGTTGGCTTTATACTTGTTTAACTGATTGGGTCGTGTGTGTCCAGATTATTTTTGCCCCATAGATTTCCCCCATTCCACCATGTTTTCTGAGATACTGCCGTATTTATTTATTATTTATTTGTTTATAAATTAAATTCACAGATCGCCCAGTCCTTGAGTTCAGGGATTAATCATTCAGTACGATCTTAAAGACAATTCCCAGATGGCATCCAGGAGTCAAATTTTAAGCCAGTTCCGGACCGTGTTGCTGCCTGACAGGCAGGGCGGGGTGGAGGGCGAAAGAAAAGGAAAGGAGAGGCGGACTGGAGGAGGCGGGTGCCAGCCGTGGTGGAGCCCACCACTCTCCTCAACCCACACTGTCCAAGTTGTCGTTGGGCTTGGCTCAGAGACTCCTTGCATTGGCATACAGACACCTTTCGTGTCTCTCCCCCTCCAGTAACCCTCGCCTCCCTCGGCCCCTTCGTCGCCAGCCATATGTGGCCCTCCGTCACCATCGGGCCCTCGCTCCCAAGCTCTGTTGCGCTCCTGCCGATATGGCCCTCCCTGAGTGCTGGTGCAGTCCTCCCTCTGGACTGACTTGTCCTGAACCGGAGGCTCCCCAGTTCCCCAGCTCCTGTCGGCTCCCCCCCCCTCGCAGGATTAGTTTAAAAGACCTCTTCCGCCTGAGTCCCTGGAGAGCTGCCGCCCATCTGAGTAGACAGTCCTGACTTCGACAGACCAAGGGTCCGATTCAGTGTCGGGGGCCCTTCACGTGTGTTCATGTGGCCACTTTAGGGGCAATATTGTTTTCTGTCAATTACAGCTGATGTCTGCATCTTCTCTTTTTCTTCCAAACAGAAATATTGGGGGGTGGGGACGGGGACGCAAGTTAAGCAGCAAGGCTTTAGTTGAACAGAAATTAGACTTGCAGATTGAGAGCTGAGAGCTGTAACCGATGGGACTCCTCTACAGAGCTGTGGGAGGGACGTTGTCAGGCTCAGGTTCCCTGTTTTTACGGGAGGTTCTTCTCTTTCCCCTGCTCCAGAGGGCCGTGTTCCAGGGACTCTCCCAGGAGGCCTTGTCTGCCTGCATCCAGTCCCTGCTGGCGGCTTCAGAGGCCATTGGTAAAAACAAGGTCAGTGGTACCTCCCAGTGCAGGAGGGACGGGGCACTGTTATTTGCAACCTTCAAAATGTGTCGGTGCGGCAAAGGGGCTGAAAGCGAAGCCCTCTATAGGGAGCTTGAGGGAGTGGGGAGGGTCGGGTGGGGGAGTGGGTATGCGCCGCAGAGTCTGCCAAGAGAAACTGTGGGAAAGCAACAGTAGGAAAGGGGTGGCGGAGAATGAAAGAGGCTTCAGTGCGAGGTGATGCTGTGCAGTCCTGTGCAGAGTGAGGCCAGGGAGGAGGCCCAGAGATCTGACCATGCGGTCTGGGCCAGGGCTAGACAGAATATTACGGAAGTCTACTCAACGGGACTTATTCCCTGTAAAGGATTGCACTGTGAATTGCCTGGAAAAACTTGCAATGGTGGCGTGCATTTATGTTTTACGTGATGCTTCACGAATAGGACACCCTCGTCGTAAGGAGCTCTGAACGGATGACCTGTGATTATAACAGATTGGAGGTGCGAAAAGCTTCTTTTGCACAGGTGTCTTTGTACAGCTGTGTCAGCAGTGCTGATTAGTTGCTGGCTGGATTTGAACACATGGCCAAGAAGTATGCAGACGCTTTGGTTCTACAAAGCAGCGAGCGGGAGATCCAGCCGGGCCAGGAGAACCAAGCAAATGAACTGTGTTTGATGTGAATGACTGGCAGTCTTTATGTTTTTCTCCCCCCGCCAGGTTATGTTTCTCTCAGCATTAATACTTTGTTTCTGTTACAATTTAGGGCCAGGTTGATGGTCAACTTTTCTTAATAAAGCATCTTTTGATTCTTCGTGAGCAAATAGCTCCTTTCCACACTGAATTCACCATTAAGGAAATTTCCCTGGACCTTAAGAGAACTAGAGGTACCGACTGCTGGCTGGTCCCGGGGTGGGTGGGTTTGCCCCTCCCCTGGACACGTCAGCCACGGGATTGTGTTTATGTTCACCTGCAGTCACTTGCATGCTTCTGCATACCAACTAATTCTCTGGAATTCAGAGTTTTCCAAGAGACGTTAATATTGCTTTCCCTTTATCAGCTCTCTTTTTTCTGCTAAAAATTGCCTAACTTCTTTGTTCCTTTAAAGAAATGTAGCTCTTTGCCAACAGTGTCTCATGAGTAGGGGTGTGCACCAAAAAAAGAAGAAGGTATTTTTCGGTTTCGGGTATACCGAATCCTGAAAATATTGGTATATTCTGATATTCCCGACTTTCAGTATCAGTATGCCAAGGTGGTATGCTGTGGCGGCCCGACTGGGAGGGGGGGGGGATTTAAAGTTTAAATGCTTGGCTTTGCAGAACATGGCTCTGCGAGTCATGCACACAGCTTCGCTTTGCGAGAGCCATTTAAAGGGAACTTTAAACTTTCCAGCGAGTTCACACGGAAGGTGGGTGAACTCGCGCCACTTCAGCAAGGGAAGCCGAGCCCGAATGAAAGCCAAATAATGTTTTATTCTGGCTCAACTAGATCTGTACAAATACCCAAAATAAATACCCAAAATAAATACAGTTGGTGTCCCAAAATAAATACCCACACCCCTACTCATGAACAGTGTTCCCTCTAAGCTGAGTTGGTGTCAGCCAGCTCAAAGTTTTTTAGCCTCCAGCTCACAGATTTTTGTCTCAGCTCAGGAAGGATGTGGCTCCAGAGCAAACTAATTGATGCAGTAGCCAAATTGCCTGCTCACAACTTTAATGCCAGTCGCTCACAAAGTAGAATTTTTGCTCTCAAGACTCCACAGCTTAGAGGGAACATTGCTCATGAGCATTGGTCTCTAGGAGCCAGCCGGGTGGCAAAGTAGGAAGCGAGAGGAGCCCGTGGAGGAGGTGGGGGGGGCTCCAGCGGCAGGTACTGTTCTTTGGAGCTGGCACCCCCTTTGCCTGAGCCAGGAGCCCCCAACGTTTCTGACCCTCTGGAGTTCTGCTGTAGGAGGTGGTGCCAATTGCCAGAGGTCAGGGGAGGGGAGTTTAGGCATTGCTCTGACACGATTTCTTCAGCTCTCCAGGCAGGCAGAAGTTCTGCTGAGGAGGACGCCCTCCTGCCCGGGACATGATGGTTTTTTAAAAAAATATCTCCTGGCGCACAGACAGCTGACCTGCAGCTGCCGCCAAAGCAGGGCTGTTAAAAAACCTGCACAGCCGATCAGAAAGTGGGCTAGAGAGGATTTCCGTCTGACCTCACCCACTTTCTGAAAACACTGGGTGGGTGGCTTGATGCCCATATTCAGACTGCACAGCGGCTTGTGGTGCCAACTAAACCAAAGCCACGGAGGGTAAACCCTCCGTGGCTTTGGTTTAATTGGCACCACAAGCCGCTGTGCAGTCTGAACATGGCGAGAGGCTTCCAGGGGAATAAGTGTTAAAGACAGGCGAAGGAATGGTGCCGATCATATGTGGTGTGCTCAGAGCGGCCCTTGAGGTAGTCGATTTTTCTGGCCTCCCCCTCCTGTAGTGCCAGGAATTGTGTCCCCGGGGGGGTCAGTGAGCCACTGGGAACTGCGGGGAAATAACACGGGGAGGGTTTGCGGCGGGAGTGGGGCATCGCTGAAAACATCGTTCTCATATAGGGCAGGGAGAAACCTTTTTGTATCGGAGCCTGAAACGTCTGCTTGCCCGGCAGAGTGTCGGTTTCTTCTGCTTAATAACTGGACTCGCACACACGTGGAAAGTTTTCCTCAAGCGACAGGGAAACTTTTTTTTAGGAAGTTGACTTAGCAAAACTATTTCGCGACGTACACCGAGTAAAAAAAAGAAGTCGGTTTATTGAGACAAGTCGTATGAAATATCCGTAGGGGGTGGGGTGGACAGAGAGCACAGAGGCATGGATTCATCTGGACGTGTGTTTGAAAATACTCCTGAAATGGGGGGGAGGGGGTCCGCTTTGGAACTTCCTTTGCCTCGGGCAGTAAAAGTGGGTTAGAACAATCTCTGTTCTATGTGTTCTTGAAGGCTTTCACTCCCGGAGTTCATCAGTTGCTGTAGATTTTCCAGGTTGTGTGGCCGTGGTCTTGGCATTGTAGAACCTGACTGGCATCCTCAGAGGTATAATACAGAAAGATGGAGTACTCCTTGACACGGAGAGTACTCCATCTTTCTGTGTTATACCTCTGAGGATGCCAGTCACAGCTGCTGGCGAAACGTCAGGTCCTACAGTGCCAAGGCCACGGCCAGACAGTCCGGAAAATCCACAACAGCTAATCTCTGTTCTGTCTCTGTAGTCTGCTATACCTTGCTTGTCCCCTAATATGCTAATGTTTTTACTCTGCACAACCTCACCGCGCTCACTAATCCTTGCACTTGACGCGGCTGAACATGGATGAGACTCTCCGTGTTGAGTGGTTTCTAGTTAGCCGGAGGTTAAAGGGTAAATATGTCCTGCTGGTGTCCTGCTCTGGCTGACATAAAACTTTGTTCTGCATATTTCCTAAATGAATAAATGTTTATGACAGCCCTGCTATTCAGTGGAAAGGTAAGTACCCAAAGTGCAAAGAGATGCATACTCGGTTCTCAACGTTCAGATTTCCAGGAATGCAAGAGAGGTTTAGACGAAGCCTTGCCTCATCACAAGAAAACAAATTGCAGCACAATTTTCACTGAAACTGTGAAACAAATGTGTAAATTGACAACAGCCTGTGGCATTCCACTACACTACACTTTTTGCAGAAGTTCACATCCTACCACACTTCTGGTAACATGGGGGTGCGGCCTAATGTGCTAATGAGCTGTGCTGTCGGGGGTGCGGCCTAATATGCTAATGAGTTCCTGCTGGGCTTTTTCTACAAAAAAGCCCTGGAAATAACTATTTAGCGTGTGTGTGTTTGTGGGGGGAGAAACACATGTTGAAAGAATAACGTGGCCTGGTCGTTAAACAAGCGGCTTTGTCTTCACAGATGCTGCATTTAAAATCCTGAATCCTCTGACGGTGCCGCACTTCTTTAGGCTAAGTAGCAGCAATGCCCTGATACAGTTCTTGTTGGAGGTAATATTAGCAGCAGGCTGGGAAAACCTGTGCTCAAAACGGGGCCATTCCAAGAGTGTCAGAAAGGGGGAGAACTCTTTGTCTCTTTGTTCAAGGGCACTCCGGAGATCAGGGAGCACTACATCGACTCGAAGAAGGACGTGGACCGGCACTTGAAGTCGGCCTGTGAGCAGTTCATTCAGCAGCAGACGAAGCAGTTTGTAGATCCCCTGGAGGAATTTCTGACAAAGGTAACTGGGATGTTATAGATTCACTGTGGGTATCTTGAACGGCAGGGTAGCTTTTTTTTCTCAGATAGAAACGGCTTATACATGAGAGCAACAGAGACACCTTAAATTTGTTACGAGGGCCGGATCCGACGCAAATGTGACTTTGTCGGGCTGGGCCGTGAGCGCCCTAAAATATAAGGCCAGATAACAGAGGTATAAACTGTATAAATGACAGCAGGTGGTGTGTCCTCACTGCAAGGTTCCGGCAGTTCTCTGTGTGTGTACGCTAGGTAAACTCGCAAGAATTGACTGGAGAGCCAGAGGTGTAGTACTGGGCAGACGCTCCCAAACTGCCGGGGGGGGGCATGCCCCTTCCCCAGCCCGCTCCCACCATTAATACTGTGACCCTGGGCCCCAGGGTAGAAACATGAAGCGGCTGGGTGTCGTGAGCTCCCTGCCCCCGAGCCACCACGGAAGGGGACTAACCCCCTGGCCTGCAGAAGCGTACAGCAGAACCCAGGCCAAGCAAAACCCGATAAGCTGGAGATGCCTGTGCACGTGAAGAGGCCCAAGGCTACCCCGCTGCAACCAGTATAACTGGAGCTTGCCAGTACTGCTCCCCCGCCCACGAGGGGGCAGCCGCCTATGGCCAAAGGCCACAGGGTGGTCCATGGGGGAGGGAGGGCCCGGCCGCCGAGTCACATGTTCAGTGGCAGGACCAGTGTGTGGAAGAAACTGTTGAAGAACACCCCTCCAGGGCCAAAGCAGAGCTCCCGCATGGGGGTGCGTGAATATGGTGGTGGCGGTGGCTGCCGGCAGGCCCCAGCAGAGGATTGCGGGCAACTGTGCAAATGCCAATCCCCGCGGCCGTCTGGGACAGCATCCCCGGAGCTACAGGCCGAGCGGAGAGGCATGAATGCGGCCACAGTGGCTCCCAACTTACCAGTGGGGCTGCCTCGGAAGCAAAGGGGTTCTGCGTGACTGACTGCTGCAGACGAGGTGGTCCCGCCATGCTGAAGCCACAAGTCCACCCCCCCCAAGCAGCCTCCCTTTCTCTCCCTTGCACCAGTTGCTCGCGGGCTGGATAAGAGCTCTGAATGGGCCGGTTCCAGCCCCCAGGCCTCATCTTGGACACCCCTGCCTTTAATGAACCACAATAATGAACCACAATAAATGAGGCAGGAAGCTGCCTAAAATTTAGTCTAGTTCATCTCACCCATGAAGCTCGTTTCAGAGGGGAGCCGTCCTCTGAAGTTTGCTCAATTTCATGTTCGTTGCATCTATGACACTGTCTAACCGTCTCATCCTTTGCCGTCCCCGTCTTCTTTGACCTTCAATCTTTCCCAGCATCAGGGCCTTCTTCTCCAGAGAGTGCTCCCTTCTCATTGGGCGGCCAAAGTATTTGAGCTTCAGTTTCATTGTCTGGCCTTCCAAGGAACAGTCAGGGTTGATTTCTTTTAGGATTGACTGATTTGATCTTCTTGCAGTCCAAGGGACTCTCAAGAGTCTTCTCCAGCACTGGAGTCATATACCATCTATAAAACATTTTATAGATATTTTCTTTATATGAAATTGCTTTAGTAATTTTTATATTTGTTTTCCATACCTGTAACCATTTTTTTTAAATATTCCTTTTATACACTACACATGTACAGGGCAGGGGAATAGGGAATCACTATAACTAAAAAAAAGAACTCCTGCCAACCTAGCAGTTCGAAAGCAAGAAATTGCAAGTAGATAAATAGGTACCACTTCGGTGGGAAGGGAACAGCGTTCCGTGCACCTTGGTGTTTAGTCATGCCGGCCACATGACCACGGAAACGTCTTCGGACAGCGCTGGCTCTTCGGCTTTGAAACGGAGATGAGCACCGCAACCCTAGAGTCGGACTCAACTGGCTTTCAAGCAAGGGAGACCTTTACCTTTACCTTTTATAACTAAAAAAAAAGGGGGAAACTACAGAATTAAGACAAGGATCATTCTACAATAGTAACATTCTTAAATGTCGTTCTTACGTTAAGTCAATACCAAAATATAGATACAATACTGTAAGGTTTTCTTAACAAAATTAACTTGAGCCATTACTACTAAAGTTTAAGTAATTTCCTGTCTCTTTAAGGAGCCTAATTTTAGACCAGAGGTGCCCGTCTCCCAACCTCTGTGCAACCCTCTGTCACACAGAGATAACATCAGTTTACCAAATGGAGTGGATTTCGGGATTTCTGTGTGTCGGTGAAGTGCTTTGAACACGAAAGCTCTCTGAGCCCAGGATTCCTACTGTGCAATTTTCCCCCTTTTGCTCCACCCGTCACGTCAGTCCCTCTGTTGTGCTTCACCTCTGGCAAGTTCCCAGATCTCTACGAGTGGAATCCTCTTGCGTTGTCTCTTGGATGTCCCACCTGGTTAATCGTATTGATTTATTCTGCGTAATCCACCCGTGAGAAAAGTGGACAATAAATGATGTTAATAAATGAATTCTCTCTTGTCATTTTAGGTCTCTGCTTTGAAGACAATGGCTGAAGAGGGGGGCCCGACGTACAACCTCTTGCAGCAGCCGTGGGCCCAGCCAGGTGATCAACTTTGCTTGCTGCTCACCCGAAATCTTTGGGGGGGACAGGATACGTGGCGGGGGGGGGGGGCACACTAGATTGGAGGCTTTGCCCGTTTGGGGTTTTGATGGAATCTTCCACTTGCAAAGCGAATCCAAAGGACGAGAGTGCTGTCTGGGTTTCTCTTAGAAAACTTTTTATGTATGGTCAGACCCAACAGGTAAGAGGTGAGATGTGGTCTGTGCCCTGCGGTCCTGTGGAGGAAGGAAACCAAGGGACTGGTAGTTCAAAATTGGGATCCATGATAATATAGGGAAATTACCATCTTGGATCTTTTTATCTACCTTGACGTTTTTATTAAGGTTATATATACATTTTAAAGTTTTGTGCTTTGTATTTTATGACAGCGTGTTCTGTACATCGCCCAGAGTCCGGCACAAGCCGGGATGAGGTGATTAATAAATCTAATAGATAATAGTAGTTGCTGTAGATCTTCCGGGCTGTGTGGCCGTGGTCTTGGCATTGTAGGACCTGACGTTTCGCCAGCAGCTGTGACTGGCATCCTCAGGGGTATAACACAGAAAGATGGAGTACTCTCTGTGTCAAGGTGAGAAGAAAAATGGTAGGCCGGTAATTTACATCTCCTCCGGAAGGTGGGGTAGGGCCAAGACATTGTCTTGTAGGAGTTCCCCAGGCTCTGACATGCTTAATGGAGGAGCTTTCCTGAGAAGATTCTTTTGCATATGGATTGGCTGTTGAAATTCTAATCTTATCTGTAGTGCTATAGTCAGATGTAGAGCCTTTTGTGTTTTCCAGGACAGGAAACCATGCCCTATTTATTTTCAAACTCTCTTCTTTCCTGTTGAAATTGCGTTTATGTTTATGAATTTCAATGGCTTCCCTGTGTCATCTGACATGGCAATTGGATGTGTTGTCCTGGATGCTGGACCTGCCTACCATTTTCCTTCTTCTCACCTTGACCCAGAGAGTACTCCATCTTTCTGTGTTATACCTCTGAGGATGCCGGTCACAGCGGCTGGCGAAACGTCAGGCACTACAATGCCAAGACCACGGCCAGACAACCCGGAAAATCTACAGCAACTAATGAACTCCGGCCGTGAAAGCCTTCGACAACATAATAACCATAATAACTTTGAGGAGGCAGTTTTGGCTTCCTGCCCAGAGCTTAGCGGGAAGGAGGTCTTGGGTTGGACCCCGGGCACCACCGGCGGGAAACGAGGCTGGAGCGGGATCTTCCCCCATCTTCCCCTTCTCCTGGCGGCCCCCCAGAAGGTGATGTGGGGGGGGGCTGGGGGGGATCCCTGCAATAGGGGCATTGAAATGAGGGGAGAGGAAGGGGGGGTCACGGCCCCCTTCTACAGAAGTCCGGCTGGGCAAAGAGGCAGGAAGGCGGTCTCGTCAGTGTTTGTCTCTCTGAATTTTATTTCCAGCAAAGGTCGGCGACTTGGTGTCTTCAACCTACAGGACAATGAAAACGAAACTTCCGTTGACCTTACGCAGCATGTCACTGTATTTGTCCAATAAGGACACGGAATTCATTTTATTCAAGCCTGTTCGGGTGAGTGATTCAGTGGGTACTACGCCCCCCCACGCCCCCCCGGTACTCGAGAATCTGAATTCAGGGAGTCTTTGGGGTATCTCGCGCTGTTCACTCTCACTCTTTCTGCGGCTTCGTCATCTTGGATCCAGTGGTCATTTCTGCTGACGAGGTGGACTTCTGTCAGTGGAGCAGGTCTTACCCGCCTCTTCCTTCCGTTGCAACCTAAAACTCCCTCCCCTCCAAGGGCTTCTCCCCGGGGCACCGAGGGGCCCAAGTTGCAGGGGGGAGCTGACGAAACTTGGCCCCGCTCTCAATAAGGGAAGCCCTCTGCTGCATCCAAGCGTATGACCTCGTGTGGTGGTTTGAGTCTAGAACAATGTTCCCTCTAAGCTGTGGAGTCTTGTGAGCAAAAATTCTACTTTGTGAGCAGCTGGCATTAAAGTTGTGCGCGAGCGGTTTGGCTACTGCATCAATTAGTTTGCTCTGGAGCCCTCCTTCCTGAGCTAAGACAAAAGTCTGCGAGCTGGAGGCTAAAAAACTGTGAGCTAGCTCACACCAACTCAGCTTAGAGGAAACACTGGTCTGGAATTGTCCATGACAATTTGTTTATTTCTCCAGGGATTTTGTGTGGGTGGTTGGGTTTGCTTGGTGCTTGCTCGGTTATTGCGTTTAGGTTTATAGAGTGTTTACTGAACCTTACTAGTACTTGTATTAGGTTCAGGTGGGGGGGGGGCAGCCATGTTGGTCTGAAGCCACAGAACAAAGTTTGGGTCCAGACTGGGCACCTTTAAGACCAACAAAGTATAATTCCGGGTATAAGCTTTTGTGTGCCTCCAACAAAGTTTAATTCTGTGTATAACCTTTCATAGGCACGCCCAGGGGTCATTTCGTAGAAAAAGAGGTGCAGGAGCTCATTAGCATAATTCATTAGCATAACGTATTTGCATATGCCACATCCCCTGTCATCACCGGAAGTGTGTCAGAAGGCAACACCCACCGCTCAGGCTCCACTGGGCTGTTTTGGATTGTTAGCTATGGGGGGGGGGACGGGCGCTATGGGGGGGGGGGACGTGCAGATCTGCCCTCGCAGAGGAGGGAGAGCTCATACCGGAATAAAACTTGGTCTTAAAGGTGCCACTGGGCTGTTTTGGGCCGGGGTGCTGGGGGGTTTCCTGCAACTTACCTGGCTGCTTCTTGCTCTGACTGAGGGCTGCTGGGAGCAGGGCGCGGGGCTCGTTGCATGTGCCCGCCCCCTGGGCTCTTTACTGCCGGAGCTCCACTCCTGTGCGCTCCTGCAGGAAATGACCCCTGGGCACGCCCACGAAAGCTCATACCCAGAATGAAACTTTGTTGGTCTTAAAGGTGCCCCTCGACTCAGACTCCGTGCTCTCTTGTGGGTGATACGCAGCTGTGTTTTTGATTGGGGATTTAGTGTGTCATTTGATAGAAACTCCTGAGGCATGTAACTTGAGAGGGAGTGAGGGATGACAGTAGTTCAAATGAGGCCTGGGATTCCTTTCTGGGTCCTGTTTCTGTCTCCCTCCTTGAGCTGCCCAGGGGCGATCCACCCTGCACTGCCTGTCAACACGCCCTGGAAGCTCTCGTATTTCAGCGCATCCCTGTCCCACAGTCCAGAGTTCGAGACACTCAAACGTAATTCATTTGTGGTTCCCCAGACACAAGAGCAGCATTCGATCTGTGTTCGTGTTGATCTTATGATAATGGAAACCTAATTTTTTCCTCCGTTCACAAGAACAATATTCAGCAAGTGTTCCAGAAGCTTCACGGCCTGCTGAAAGAAGAATTTAGTAATGAAGACCTACAGATTGTCGCGTGCCCGTCAATGGAGCAGGTACACAATACAGTTCTTAACTTTGTTTTGACAAGCAAACAGTAAAACTGTCCGGGGCTTTACAAGCTATTCTCTGTTCAGTTTGGCAAGATCCCACTTGGGTATCACTTGAACCCAGAGCTCCAAGCCAAGGGTACCGACTCCACTGAGCGCGTGTGAAAGGGATCTCAAGAGGAGGGTGGGGTCGCGCAGGTTGTGTGGAGGGCCAATGTTCCCTCTAAGCTGTGGAGTCTTGTGAGCAAAGAGTCTACTTTGTGAGCTACTGGCATTGAAGTTGTGAGCAAATGATTTGGCTGCTGCATAAATTAGCTTGCTCTGGAGCCCTCCTTCCTGAGCGAAGGCAAAAATGTGTGAGCCAGAGGCTAAAAAACTGTGAGCTGGCTCACACTAACTCAGCTGAGAGGGAACACTGGTTGAGGCGTCTGCCGCTGGAACAGGAGGTCGACTGCTAGCACAAGACACATCCATAGCTTCCTTCTGGTGGCTGCAAAGAGACCCAACGTGTTTGCAAACATGGCCTCATGTTTAGGCGTGAGCCAGCAGTGTTCACCCCCCCGGCTTAGCAGAAGAAACCTTTTCCTCCATTTTTCCCCCCTGAATGGGGGAGCATAAGGTCTGGCTCTTGCGAAACCTCCCTTCCATTTAGGAGTCAGGCTGCTCCTTTCTGACATCTGCTGACATGGGGGAATTCCCCCCCCCCCAGTCTTGGGTTTTTATAGGCTGCTTTTAACTCAGAGGTTAAGACGCTGAGCTGCTGACCGAAAGGTCTGTAGTTCAGCAGTTCGAGACCCGAGTGTGCCGTGTGACGGAGTGAGCTCCCGTCTCTGGCCCCGGCTCCTGCCAGCCTAGCAGTTCGAAAGCAAGAAACTGCAAGTAGGTAAGTAGGTGTCAGACTCTACAGTACTCCCAGATGCGATACGTCCGTTTATGAATTTTATTGTAGAAATCAGAAAAGTTGCAGGTGAATCAAACTCTTTGACAGGACTGGCAAATAATACAAAATCAGGAACTACGAGAACTTTGGGTCAGCCCACATTCATAGGTCATGGTTACATGCAATGCTCCCTCTAAGCTGTGGAGTCTTGTGAGCAAAAATTCTACTTGGTGAGCCACTGGCATTAAAGTTGTGAGCGAGCGATTCGGCTGCTGCATAAATTAGTTAGCTCTGGAGCCATCCCTTCCTGAGCTAGGACAAAAATATGTGAGTTGGAGGCTAAAAAACTGTGAGCTAGCTCGCACTAGCTCAGCTCAGAGGGACCACTGGTTACATGTGATAGAGACAGGTTAATAGAGTACAATTATAATGGTGAGAATGTTTATCTGAGATACTTCCTACAAGGCCGTGAGAAATTAGAAAGGCAAAAATTCTCCTGGCCCACGTGTAGGAGGTTCCGTATCCAGAGGTACAAAGCGCACTATCTACAACAGTCAGACAAGCATGTCTCAGTTATCCCCTTCACCCTGAGAATGTCAGAGGAGGATCCTTGTGAACCCATTGAGACAATGCTAGCAGGTGTGACATGGAATCTGGGAACTACAAGCAAGCATGAGGCTACAGTGATAAGGCTTTCGAAACAGTTAATAAGGAAGCAAGCCATGTACGTCAGAAAACCAGTGCACATCTAGACTGACCCAGCAGCCCATCGAGGGTCCAATTCCGACAGTAGGTACCGCTTCGGGGGGGAAGGTAGCAGTGTTCCGTGCGCCCCTCAGAAAACCAGTGCATATCTAGACTGACCCAGCGGCCCATCGAGGGTCCGATTCCGACAGTAGGTACCGCTTCGGGGGGAAGGTAGCGGTGTTCCGTGCGCCTTGGCGTTTAGTCATGCCGGCCACATGACCACGGATACATCTTCAGACAGCGCTGTCTCTTTGGCTTGGAAACGGAGATGAGCACTGCCCCCTAGAGTTGGATTTGACTAGCTTTCGAGCAAGGGAAACCTTCACCGTTAACCCCATGAGGGCCGTCAGTCGGGGTATGACATGGAATGAGCAGCGTATAAACCCGTTCTTAAGTGAAACTGCAGAAAAGGGAATCTGAAGTAGATGGGAAAGGCTCCGGCCAGGTGGGCCTCCGTCTCTCCAGCAGGTGCTTCTTGCAGAGCAGGCCCGGCCTTCCCACGTGCCGGAAAGGAAGGTTAGCCGCGTGGAAAGAGCTCCGAAGTGCCAGAGTCTGGGAATGGGCTCTCTCGTCAGCCGCCTACGTCCATGGCGGGATCAGGCCCGGTGCGGGTGCTAGCATTCCGGCACAGGAATGGCTGCAAAGCCGCCAGCAAGCCTGGGCCCTGGAGGGGTGGGCTTTTGGGACCCAGTTTGCTGGTTCCCTCCGGACCTCCGAGAGCGGGACAGCCATGCCGCCCACCGGGTCTTTCAGTCGCTCACCCGTCTCTGGAGAGCAGCCGGGCAGTGAAGCTCCCCTTCTCTCTCGCAGGTGAACCTCCTGTTGTCCATGAGCAAGTAGACGTCCTCCGAGAAACCTCCTTGTCTTCTGCATCAATTGGGGAGGAGGTGGAATCGTGGTGCCGCCTGAACTTCCATCCAGGACCCGGGATGCTGGGCTGGGGGTACGAAACGCCACCAAAGGCCCCCTGCAGGCTCCATCCCCTCCGGCGGCTGCCTGCCTGCCTGCCTTCGAAAGGGACAGGCCCTTTTCCAAGTCTTCTTGTGCTCCCCCCACCCTGTTTATTCTGCATCTGTCGAATGCCTTTTTCAGGGGACTGTGCCGAAAATAAATTGGAGGCCCCCAAACTGGGGGGGAGTAGGGGTCCTGTGAAAAGAGTGCATCCTGGTGAATGTCAGATCCCGTTGCCGAGCTGGAGCAGCCCACCGGGGGAAGCTTTCACGTCTCCCACGACACTGGTCCTTTTCGTAAGAGGGGCCCCATTCAGATGTCTCGCTGCCTGTCACTGAATGGAAAGTCATTTGGAGTGTTTCGGTGCTGCACGTGTGAATTCATGCTTTGCACGCGTGCTTGTGAAAACCCGCTCCCTTTTTTGGGTGTCTGTGAGTCTTCCGCAGCGCTCCCATGCAGTGTCCTGCCCTGACGAAGGATCTCTGCCACCTGCCGGTTCTTTAAACTCCGGAAAGAATCTCTGTGTGGTTTGGTATGCGCTAGAGATGTGCAGAGGAAACGGTGCACTATGGCGGGGAAGTAGAAGGCCGTGCGCGCTCCCGTGAGGGTCGGCAGCGGGGCCCAGCTGAGCTGTGAGAGTTCAGGTCCTTCGCTATTCATCTGAAGCCGGGGGAGGGAGAGAAGAGGGGTTCCCAGGTTCAGCTGAGTGGGGTGAAATTAACGCTGCCCCCGGGCCCGGGGGGGGGGGGGCTTGGAGGCAGGCTGGGGTCTGGTGTGAAATCCAGTGTGGGAGGGGAGGCCTCCGTGGAGGGAGTGGGAGTGCCGTGGCCCAGTCCCCCACGTGGGCATCTGCCTGTTACCCGCCTGGGAATCACAGCCACACGAGCTGGGCATCTGTACAACCCGGTCTCTCCCGGGGAGCTGCAGCTTCCCTGTTCAGAAACACACCCGGTAGCTTAAGACTGTTTCACACGACAGCCGACAGGTTCGGATATCTCGGTCATTCCTGCGTGGAAGTGCCTTGAGGAGTTTATCTGAAGTTCCTGAGAACATGAAGGAAGCTCCGTTAAACTTTTGAGGGGGTTACGGGGGGGACGGGACCCTGAGGTTGTTCAGGACGTGTGCTGGACGTGTCCTCCGATGGGCTAAATGACCGGAGCATTATGTGGTGTGCCAGCGGCCAAGAATCAGAACTTGAGGCCCTTGAGGAGTTTATCTGAACTTCCTGAGAACATGAAGGGGGTTCCTGAGAACTTTTGAGGGGGTTGGGGGGGGGGAACCCTGAGATTGTTCAGGACGTGTGGTGGACGTGTCCTCCGATGGGCTAACAGACCGGAGCATTATGTGGTGTTGCAGCGCATTATGTGGCGTGTCAGCGGCCAAGAATCAGAACTGTTACTGTCCCGAAATAATTGAAACGCTGCATTGCATTCTGGCGTGGGTTGGCAATTTGGTGGCTTTGGGCAGTGAGCGCTCTTGTGCCCGTTCTTGACTGGGCCTGCTGGATAGCCGGGGATCCACTTTTTGGTTTATTTAAACACTTGTGCTCTTAAGGTCACCCAACAGGATACTAAATTAGCAGGCTTTTAAAACGCAACAGTGCACCCGTAGACGGGAGAGCGAGGTGGCAACACGACCGATGGGCCTATTGAAATGACTGGCCCATAAAAGCCCTGGCGGCGGGCTCCTCAGTGGAATGGGAATGCCGTGCGGGGAGGTGACGTTGCCAAGGGTCTGGATGTGTTAGAAGGGTCCTTTGGGTTTTGCTTTTGGTTGCTTAATAAGCCACTTCCAAATCCCTCCCCCGCGCCCCCTTTAAAGCTGCCCAAAGCGGCCCGGCCTGGGGCGGAGGCTGGCTGGAGCCGACAGAACCGTGAACAACTTGCAAGACAAATCTGTTTACTAAATTGTTGTAAAATAATGTCCTGTAGTATATATGTACATCTGGCAATTTTATATCGTTTTCATACACGATTCTCGTCCGAAGTTGTGGTGGGTTTTAATCGAACGTGGTGCAGGGGCCGGGAATCTGGTCGCTCGGCCCGTCCAGTTCAAAACCAGAGTTGCTCAGAAGGAAAGGTGAGGCGGGTGACCTTTGTACAGGGCCCTTGCTTAAATGCAGGCTTATTTAAAACTGTACAGTTTCAGAGATTTACCTATACAAATAGTGTACATAATTTAAAACAGATTAATTTAAGATGTTTATATTATTGACTAGAGTCCTGTTTTTAACGTGGTTTTTCTTTTTGAAATAAAAGCTTTGGTTTCTTACTCCGGCCTCGGCTGTCTTTCGATGCCTGTTGGACCAGGGGTGGAGTGTACCGGAGGGCCTGTGGTGTTTCGTGGTAATAGTGTACATAATTTAAAACAGATTAATTTAAGATGTTTATATTATTGACTAGAGTCCTGTTTTTAACGTGGTTTTTCTTTTTGAAATAAAAGCTTTGGTTTCTTACTCTGGCCTCGGCTGTCTTTCGATGCCTGTTGGACCAGGGGTGGAGTGTACCGGAGGGCCTGTGGTGTTTCGTGGTGGCCCCTCCTCTGAGAAGGGCAGGGTCATCAATGTAGACGTGGTCCGGTGGAGCTCACTCTTTTCAGCTGATACTTCAGAAGAGTTCTGATGTTTCACATCCTGACTCAATAGGCGGTCAGTTCGGGATACTCTGAATGAGGAGAAACTCAAACCTGTGAAGGCCGAGAAACCAGCTCTCCATCCGAGGTGGGGTTGCCAAAGCTCTGGGCTGAGGAATTCCTGGCGACTTATGGGGTGGGGCCTGGGAAAGGCTTGGAGTACAAGGCCACGGAGTCTACCCTCCAAAGCAACCGACTTAGGGCGGCCCTGTAGGATTTTCAAGGCAAGAGAGAA